CTTCCCCGCCCCCCTCTTGTGTTTTTTTGTTGAGACTCTGTGTGTGTGTGTGTGTGTGTGTGTGTGTGTGTGTGTGTGTGTGTGTAGCTCATCTCTATTCATGACTCCGTGGCTGCATCTGCACTGTTGATATATTGTGTCTTAGGGGATGTGGAACTTTAATCATTCCTGCTCCAGGCATTATAAATTATTTTAAATTTCTTTTATTATGGGGTTGGAGAGATGGCTCAGTGGTTAAGAGCACTGTCTGCTCTTGCAGGAGACCCAGGTTCGATTCCCAGCACCCACATGGCAGCTAACAACTGTCTGTATCTCCAGTTCCAGGGGATCCAACACCCACTTCTGACCTCTGGGGCATTGCAGGGCATGGGTGCACCTACCCACATGCAAGCAATACACTTTTACACATAAAATAAAAAATACAATATTTTTAATTTTTTTCTTTTGTTACATTTATTTATTTATTGTGTGTACATGCCACAGCTTGTGTATGGAAGTCAAAGGAGAGTTACTTGTGGGAATTGGTTCTCTCCTTCCACCATGTGGAACCCGGGATCGAACTCAGGTTTCCAGGCTTGGCAGCAAGTACCACTACCCCCTGACCCATCTTGCTGTCCCACTATAAATGTCAAGAGTGGCCTGCTTTTGGCGGGGGGGAGTTTTTTGTTTGTTTGTTTTGAGACAGGGTCTCCCTGTAGCCCAAGCTGGCCTGGAACTTGCTATGTAGACCAGGCTGGTCTTGATCTCCAAGGCAGCCTGCTTCTGCCTTCTGAGTGCTGCGATTAAAGGCCTGTGCCACTACTCTTAGCTTGAGTGCCCTGCTTTTAAGACTCAGGGAGAGATGGCTCAGTGGTTAAGAGTGTTTACTGCTCTTCCAGAGGGCTCAGGATCTGGGTTCAGTTCCCAGCACCCTTATCCGGTGACTTACAACCGCATGCAACTCCAGTTCCAGGGGAATCTGAAGCCCTCTTCTGACCTCCACGGCATTGCACGACACAGGTACACTCACATACCATGCAGGCAATATACTTATACATATAAAAAAATATAAATAAATAAATAAAATTTTTAAAGTAAATCTTAAAAGTAAAATCTGGGGCTGGAGAGATGGCTCAGTGGTTAAGAACACTGACTGTTCTTGAAGAAGACCCAGGTTCAAATCCCAGCACCCACATGGCAGCTAACAACTGTCCATAACTCCAGTTCCAGGG